CAGCTTTATACACATGTCTCAACTAACCCTATTACACCATTTGATGTGGCCATTACTATTATTTTTCCCTAACAAAAGAGGAAACTGGGCTATGGTCAGAGTAGGAAGCAGGGGGCTGTCACAAAGTCAGTAACTTAGATGGCCCTGCGGGACTTGTGTTTCTATCTCCTTATAGAAATACCTTGTTGTAATGTAGTTGGACTGATCACCATCATTTTACCACAGAGGGAACTGCAAGTAACTTGTTCAAGGCCATACTGTTAGGAAATGGTAAAGAGCTTGATGGGTACATCTCTCCGCAAACCCTTATGGCTTTTTGCTCCCCAAACCAATTGCCTTTCTGTTCAAGACAGCTTTGTTTATATATGTTCTTTGATAATTTGCACATAAGGTTTAAGCTCTTTAAGAAATTACAGAGCAGGAAAAATGGGGGTTCCTGCTACTATAAATGAAGTACTAGAACCAGAATTATGCAAGGTTGTGTCCTAAGATGGGTCAGCAAGTCATTCCCACCTGAATTAGCTGAAAAGATTCTCCCTGAGGTGGGTTTAACCCGGCAGAGCCATTAGAACATTTCTTTTGGATTACTTACTTTTCTTTATACGGTTCTGTATTTTCTAAATTTTTACAGTGAGCAAGTGTTACCTTCTAATGTAAATGTTTACAGATAATACTGGATACATTCTCATGTTAAACATTCAAACGCACCAAGCTCTTCCCTTAAAACTCTTATCTTCCTCTCTCCCCTTCCAGTCTCCTTTCCAGAGGCAGCCAAAGTGAGAAGTTTGTATGAATTCCTCCAGACCTGCACGGTCTTCTAAGGACATCACCATCCACATGAGGCTACTGAGTGCTTGAAATGTCCTAGTTTAAACTGGAACGTGCTTGTAAGCATAAAATACACACTAGATTTGAATATCCAGTATGAAAAAAGAGTGTAAAATATCTCATATAATTTGTTTATTGATTACATTTTGAAATGATAATATTTTGGATATACTGGGTTAAATAATACATAATTTAATTTCATCTGTTTCTTTTTACCTTTTTACATATAGGTGGCACATGTTATATTTTTATTTTTGGACAGCACTGCTTGAGAGTCTAGACCATTTTTAGTACATCTGTACACTTATATGTACATACAGAAATATGTAGTTTTTTTGGTGTCTCCTAACATAAATATGCATTATCTATACATAACTAAAACTTTATACCAGAATTAAAACTTTTTTTCTTAAAAAAGGAAGCATAATCTTTAAATGCTTTAGGCATTAAATTAATTCCTAAAAAAAAAAATTTAATTCCTTTCTTCCTCCCTTTCTCTTCCTCTTCCTCTCCCCGCCCACCCACCCCATAATTCTTGACAACCTACAAAGCCTGAGAATGAAGAAAGTATTAATTATTCTTTGCCATACAGATGCTGAAGTGAGCGCACCTAACATTGTTTTGGATTAATTCAACACAGGTACAGATTAACAAAAGGGTATCACCTGTTGGATAAAAGGACGTGCTAGTCAATAGACGTAGGCTTTGGAGTTAATGAGTTCTCGACAAAAGACAGAGAAAACAGCTGCACTTGCCCCAAATGACTGGTAGGTATTTTTAAATGTCTAGATCTGAAATTTGCTATTCTTTTTTAAACATCTTTATTGGAGTATAATTGCTTTACAATGGTGTGTTAGTTTCTGCTTTATAACAAAGTGAATCAGCTATACATATACATATATTCCCATATCTCCTCCTTCTTGCATCTCCCTCCCACCCTCCCTATCCCACCCCTCTAGGTGGTCACAAAGCTGATCTCCCTGTGCTACGCAGATGCTTCCCACTAGCTATCTATTTTATGTTTGGTAGTGTATATATGTCCATGCCACTCTCTCACTTTGTCCCAGCTTACCCTTCCCCCTCCCCATGTCCTCAAGTCCATTCTCTATGTCTGTGTCTTTATCCATGTCCTGCCCCTAGGTTCTTCAGAAACTTTTTTTTTTTTTTTTAGATTCCATATATATGTGTTAGCATATAGTATTTGTTTTTCTCTTTCTGACTTACTTCACTCTGTATGGCAGTCTCTAGGTCCATCCACCTCACTACAAATAACTCAATTTCATTTCTTTTTATGGCTGAGTAATATTCCATTGTATATATGTGCCACATCTTTATCCATTCATCTGCTGATGGACACTTAGGTTGCTTCCATGTCCTGGCTATTGTAAATAGAGCTGCAATGAACATTGTGGCACATGATTCTTTTTGAATTATTTGTCAGGGTATTTTCAGGGTATACGTCCAGTAATGGGATTCCTGGGTCATATGGTAGTTCTAATTTTAGTTTTTTGAGGAACCTCCATACTGTTCTCCATAGTGGCTGCATCAATTTACATTCCCACCAACAGTGCAAGAGGGTTCCTTTTTCTCCACACCCTCTCCAGCATTTATTGTTTGTAGATTTTTTGATGATGACCATTCTGACTGGTGTGAGGTGATACCTCATTGTATATCTTCTCTGGAGAAATGTCTATTTAGGTCTTCTGCCCATTTTTGGATTGGGTTGTTTGTCTTTTTGATATTGAGCTGCATGAGCTGCTTGTATATTTTGGAGATTAATCCTTTGTCAGTTTGAAATTTGCTATTCTTATCACGTCATTCCTTTCACTCAGATTTTTTTTTGTAATAGGCATAGTCCCATGACCTTATGTTGGGTGACTGACTATGCACTAACTACTTTTCAATTTGATCAATATTGGCACCTTTGACCAATAAAGTGCCACCTCTGATCAGCTACTGAATCCTGACAGTTGCTGGAAACAAAATGCTGACATGTGTGACCTATGTGATCTCTGTTTTACCAAGTTCTGACTAGTTGAAGTAATATGACAAATATTTTATAGGGTACCTAATAGATTTTATTTTGTCTAAGTAAATACCTGACAATGAATCCAGTTCAGTGGATTCTGCAAAAGAAATGACCTCAAACAAGTTCCCCATCCTCCCCCACTTAGAAAAATGGCTGTATATACATAAACTATTTACACAGACCACACTCATGTCAATGAACTATAGGAGCACGTGCACATGTAGCATTCTTGTGTTGGGCTGGAAGGGTGTTTACCATGTTCTAGCAAGGCCTCAGCATGTGCAAAACATTAGCAGCTCTTACATGGCCTCAGTGTAGAAGCTCCCTGAGGGCAGAGGAGAGAAAAAGAACATTAGGCATGAGCAGGGGTGCTGTGATACTTCGTTATTTTCATTCCTGTGAGTGCTTCTTGGTGCTCTGTCCCATTTGTGTTCCTCTGCTTGCATGCTGTCTTGATAAAGGACTGCAGTTTGAAGGCCTGTGTATTCTTTTTTTTTTTTTTTTTTGCGGTACGCAGGCCTCTCACTTTTGTGGCCTCTCCCGTTGCGGAGCACAGGCTCCAGACGCGCAGGCTCAGCGGCCATGGCTCACGGGCCCAGCCGCTCCACGGCATGTGGGATCTTCCCGGACCGGGGCACGAACCCTTGTCCCCCGCATCGGCAGGCGGACTCTCAACCACTGCACCACCAGGGAAGCCCAGGCCTGTGTATTCTTTTGCTCACTCCTTGCTGCCCCAAGACAAGCGTCCAAATGGGTAAAAATGGGACACTGAATGGGGAGCCCCAAGTTTTCTTCTAGCTGGTAATTCTCCCAGCCAAATTTTCCTTGAGCAGATTCCATGGGGGTTGTCTTTAATGCTCCATATTGACAGGACATTTAAAAGTGTTTCTTTTTATTTGTTCCTGGTCCTTGCCATCTTTTCCCATCATTCAAGGAAGAATAGAGAAAAAGCAAAACAGAAACAGAGACTAGGGCAATACAGGATTTTTCAACCTTTTCTGAAGTGCTATATATCTCTGCAATTAAGACAATCTTTTGAAACTTAAAACAAAAAATCTTCCTTAATTAGGATTGACATCCTCTGAGTAGATACCATCTGCTGTAGCAGGCCAACCCTGTCCTCCGCAGCTCTTGGCAGTTACAGGTGAGTAGGGGCCCCCTCTCCGTTCCCACACCCCTGCTCAAGAAGCTGCCAGGGAGCTCTCAGGCAGTAGCAGCAGGCAGGAAGTGGGGTGGGAGTGAGAGGGGGTCTCCACTCATTAGCAGATGCTTAAGTAGTAGGCAGGGGAACTTTTCTATGGAGAAATTCAGGTCAGCAGATACTCCAAACCAATTTATACCATGTGCTACCCAGTTGTGGAAGTAAATTCAAATGCTAAGAAAGGACCTGGACTGCCAATCCCCTGATTTTTTCCCTACCTTGGGCTTGGCACCCAAAAGAATAAAACAAGAACAGTTGGACTTGGTGGTTCAAAGGGAATTATTCGGCAACTTCGAGGAAGTGAAGGCAGCACAGACCAAGGCAAGCTGTCTTCATGGAACATCATGTACCAGTGACTAAATGTCAAGACCCATCATTTCCAAGTGGTGACGTCTACACAGGTTTAGTAGTATGCTCATTCAGATTTAACCAAAACACAAGCTTGACAGATTATCAGAATCTTTGGGGGAGGGCAGTGTGTGGACTCAGGAAAAGTGTGAGGTAGTTTTACAAATGACTTCATAATTTTTTTTTTAAAAGCACAGCAATATTATCATCCTAGTGGTTTTTGCTATAGTCTATTCTAGTAAAATGTGAAATAGAAGTTCTGCCAAAAGTACAGAAAACATTTCCAAACAAGTCATTATAGATTACATTACAACTCTAAAATAAAAATGTCTAAACATGTGTTTGTCCATTAGAATTTTTTTTTAAATTAATTTTTATTGGAGTATGGTTGCTTTATGGCGTCCATCAGAATTTAGTGCATTTTTGTTAACGCTTTCCTTGTGGAAGAAATTTGACTTTTTCTTATGCTACTTCCTTAACAATAAGTTACTATGGCTTTAACAAGTGGCTATGGGCTGGGTTCATAATTTGATGTTATATTCTGAAAAATAATTTTTACATTCCATCAACAACAGGAAAACATTAAATGATTACCTCTGTAAATTTGTTCCGATTGGCTTGCAAGCCAACTTTTACTACCTCAAAAGGGTTGACCACAATGGCTTCTGTTAGTCCAGATCCCAATCCAGCAATGGCAAAGGTCTAGAAAAATTAAGTCAATCAATACTTTAAAACAAGTCATCATGTGTATGGGGTTAAACATCCTACTCATTACACTATGCAGCTGAATGTTATAATGAGAATGGAGAAACTCACATAAATGCACCATATACCATTACTAAACAGCTTTAGATCTTGATTAGATGCTGACAATTCATGAAGAAGAAATTACAGAAGCCACAAACCACATCCTAACAATTCAAAATAAAATGTCAAAGCCCCATCAACAATGACTTTGTCCTTTAATGAAAAGAAAGGTTGTTTTACTTATTTAAGGTGGATGCTAAAACATCTGCACATGTAACAACTCAAAGAGAGTTTGACTCAAAAAAGGAGAGCTTCACTTTTAAACACCTACTTAAATACATTTATTGAGCATATAAGAAATTCAAGGAGGAGAACCACAAATAAAATGCTTATAAAAAGCTAAATTTCAGGTAACCAAACAGTATAGCCAAAAATATTTAAATGTATAGCCATATTCTTAGAGTCATTATTCTAGGAAATTAAGAAACAAAAAAAACCAGTTTAAAATTAATCCTTTATCTGACTTTTTAAACTGATAATTGCCCTATTCTTCTAGACCTAGAAGCTGAGGAATAAAAGTTGAGGTCAGAGATGAACAGGTTGTCTTGAAGGGCTCAGATAAAATCTAGAACATTTATCAAAAGGTGGCTGTGGGCCTTCCCTGGTGGCGCAGTGGTTGAGAGTCCGCCTGCCGATGTGGGGGACACGGGTTCGTGCCCTCGTCCGGGAAGATCCCATGTGCCGCGGAGCGGCTAGGCCCGTGAGCCATGGCCGCTGAGCCTGCGCGTCCGGAGCCTGTGCTCCGCAACGGGAGAGGCCACAACAGTGAGAGGCCCGCGTATTGCAAAAAAAGGTGGCTGTGTATCAGGTTCTTATTTGTTATCTGTTAAGAACTTCTGCAGTAGGAAAGAACAACTTTCTAGATTTTCCACTGAGTAGAATGCTTAAAGGATTTTCAGAAACTTTGTATCAAAAATAGCCACAACTATTAAAACACACACACACACACACACACACAAACACACACAGCAGGAAAACAAAATGAAACAAAGCCTCAAACCTTCAAAAGAGATGCTGAAAAAAATAATTCTTTGGTGCTGAAGCTCTAATTTCAGGGGAAGAGGTAATACTGTATACAACTAGGAGAAAAAAAAAAGTCAGTGAAGAGTAAAGAAGAGACGCTTGTATTCGGAGTCTCTAATTTCTTCAAAGTAGGAGACTAAAAGAGAAAAGGGAGAAAGGAATGTTCTATAACCTTAGAAGGGGAGGCAAGGTGGAACCAGGGCAGGATCCAGAGCCAGGAGGTCTGGGTTTAGGTTCTGGTTTTGCCGCTTTATTGGCTGTGTGACCAGAGATGCCATGTACAGTAGTTTGGGCACAAAGTTACATGTGGAGGCTGAAATCAGCCTGCAGCCTACTTGCCAAGCCAGAAAGGCATCAGTCAGGAGAAAGGGGCACCTTTTCATAATCCACACAAAAACACCGTGTGTGTTAGCTGCAGCTCTGTGTTTAAATCACTGAGTCTTTTAAAGAAGATGTGGTACATATATGCAATGGAATATTACTCAGACATTAAAAAGAATGAAATAATGTCATTTGTGGCAACATGGATGGACATGGAGATTATCATACTAAGTGAAGTAAGTCAGATAGAGAAAGACAAATATCACATGATATCACTTACACACAGAATCTTAAAAAAATGATACAAATGAACCTATTTACAAAACAGACTCACAGACTTAGAGAACGAATTTATGGTTATGGTCGGGGGGAAGGTTAGGGGAGGGGGATAGATTGGGAGTTTGGGATTGACATGTACACACTGCTATATTTAAAATAAAATGCCTTTCCATGAAAAAAAAATCACTGAGTCTTTTATAAGCCACTGTTTTCTCATCTGTAAAATGGAGACAACAATATCTAATCTTTGATTTAATACGGTTATCTGAGGGTCAAAATAATGTGTGAAGGCCTTTTGTAAAGTGCTGTACAAAACCACTGTTACTGTTGCATGACGAGGAAGAATGGGATTGTACACAGATTCTAGGAGAGAGGGGATAACTAATGTTTTCCTTTCATGCCCCTTTATTACAATTTTAAACATATTTGTATAGGGTAACAGACAAAATATTTTATTCATTTACCTCAGACTTCCCTCATGGAATCCAAAGGCAGAAAAAAAAAAATACTAGTCCCAAACTCTTCTGACTGAAAAAGCTAAAATCCAGATGTTCAAGTTTTTATTACTATACGCAATCTTCCAAGTAATTCACTTTTTTGTTCTTCTATAAAACTCAGCTACATTTGCTGTCAGAACTAGTGTTCAGCAGTCCCTCGTCAAAAGAATTGATCAGCTATCAGCGGATCATGTTACTCAGATTGTTCCAGAGACCAGCGGTAACTGTTGGGTTCCCAGCCTCCCAGGCTTTTCATGTCCCCTAGAGCACTAGGGGACATTTAATGGCTGTTTAAGTGTCTAGCTGTGTCAAAAAGAAACTGTAATAAATGAGTTCAAGAAAAGAGAAAAACTGTATACAGTTTGCATGAATTCGGTGAGAGGAGCTGAAGTAGCCAAATGCTTTTCTGTTTGAATTCTCAAGACAGAAGTGCAGTCTCTCACATGGTACCAATGCTTGACACAGGATCAGCCATGGCCCTCTGGAAACTGTATTTTACTGTCCTTTGCTAGGAAGATTTTTTTTTTTTTTTAGAATTGGCTTCTTCTTCTTTTTTTAAATTTATTTGTTTTATTTATTTATTTTTGGCTGTGTTGGGTCTCCGTTGCTACGCACGGGCTTTCTCTAGTTGCAGAGAGGGGCTACTCTTCACTGCGGTGCACGGGCTTCTCATTGTGGTGGCTTCTCTTGTTGCAGAGCATGGGCTCTAGGCGCGCAGGCTTAAGTAGTTGTGGTTCGCAGGCTCTAGAGCACAGGCTCAGTAGTTATGGCGCACGTGCTTAGTTGCTCCGCAGCTTGTGGGATCTTCCAGGACCAGGGCTTGAACCCGTGTCCCCTGCATTGGCAGGCGGATTCTTAACCACTGCGCCACCGGGAAAGCCCTGCTAGGAAGTTTTTAATCCTCTTTTTAACAAGATGTTTTCAAAGTAAAGGGAGACAGTCAGGGAAGACACTGAGGAATTAAAAAAAAATCTCAGCTTATTTCAGGACTCATGCTACCACTTCTCCTTCCATGAGAGGCCGCTTCACAGCCCCCTTGTTTAAGCAGGAGGCTGGACCAGAGGTTTCTTTGTCATAAAACAAAGTGACACTATTAGGTTTCTTAATTGGATCCTTCCTAGAAAGGGAGTATGTATGATTTTTTAAATAGCAGTTACTTCTTCTTAATGAATCTTTAGAAATAAAGTAATGAAAGAGTTGAAGCTCAGAACTCTGCCCCTCTGGCTGAGTTCTAAGGTGCATTCCAGCAGGTAAACTGGGGTATTTTCCTGGACGTTGGAAGACACATTGCCAATTGGAGGGCCAATGCAGATTTAGTTTAGTTTAGTTTTGTTTTGCTTTGCAGGTTTGGGGGAGAAATTAGTGCATTGGCTCTCTCTGGGGCTCTCGCTGCATGCATATTGATAGAACCTATTTGGTCAATATTATTTAACTTGTTTTGTGAAAAGCAGAGAAATCACGAAGAAGGAAAGGAGTGGCATCGGCAAATGTTCAAATCACCAAATGACTTTCATGTAATAGTTGAGATGTGTCATTGTAAGATCACTGTTCTCCCCAACTATAAAAGGCCCCTCAGCCTGCATCTGACCACAGAGTGACCTGAAGTCCTATAGTTAATACAGCTTGAGCAAAAGCTGCAAAAGTGACCTGTTAGGAAATAATTTTAGGTACAGTGACTTTCACATAAATAGATATGTGCAGTATGTATGTAAACATACACATGTTTTGGCTTCAAAAGAGTCTTTGACAAATGTACTCTTTATATTCTTAACCATATCTCATATGGGCCTTTCCACACGTATCATTATTATCATAAATTCATCACTGGGAGCTATAAAATGGCCAAATTGTGAGTTATTAGGAAGATGGCTTTCAACAAGTAGCTGAACATTGAATAACTCGAATTCATATTTTAGTAGCTGAGCTTGGGGAATCAAAAGGGTTTTTGTTTCCAGATTTTGCTGTATGAAATAACACACACACTTAAGTATAATAAATACTCTCACTTACCAATGCTGGTGACAGTGACACATATCCTAGCAATTTCTTGTACTGCTCAAAGGTGAAAAACTGTGAAACAAAACCAAACCCAGAGATTTATAACGATTTCCTGCAACAAACCTTTTAATTGACTCAAATTTCTTTAGTAAATCATTATATTCACCAGCATTCTAAAAAATGATAAACCATCAAACACAGTTTTTAATCCAGTCTTGGGTAGTTGCTATTGAATCTTACTTGAACATTCACATTTTCAAATGCAGCTATAATAGCCTACAGAAGAGCTGATGGAATCTTTTATAGCGGTAAATGAACCATACAGCTTCCATTTACCATGACCATTTTCAGTTTCCCCAGACATCAATAGACTCCTTTTTTATGGCAGTGATTCAAAATTATAGGCATAGAGACCTGAAATCTTTGGTCTCCTATGTTTTCTCTATGGCCTGCTTTCCCAGTGAATGCTCAATTTTCTAACCCATTTGTAAAAGACATCCACTTCTCAGCTTTAACTCGCATTTATACTGCTGTGTATCTCTACTGTTCCATGGGATTTCTAAACACTCAGTGATGACGAAGATGCCATGATAAACTAGGGAAGGACCCAACAAGGACATCTAGTCCATCCCCTGCCTGAAAGTAAGACTGTCCTCAACCTCAGTGAAGAAAGAGAGCTGCTTATTCCTTCCTTAAAAATCTGACGATGATGAAGATTTTGTTGGTTCCTTCAGTAGATGATGTTTAATATAATTTTCTCTGTAAATGGATTTCAATGGAGGCAAATCTAATCAATCACTTTGTATAATATGTTCCAAATAAAGTTCTCTCCTCTCTTTTTATATTATATATTTTGGACAACGATCTGCTTGAACATGATGGTTTGCTCCTGGGGTACTCTGTTAGGTAGCTGCCAACATCACTGATAAAACACACTCTTAGGTCCTGCTGGGGTCTGATTCTCAAGACCTCAGAAATGGCCTGGGTATTTTATGGTCTTAATATGTCTTCTACTCTATTACTTTATAACCCAGTACTATGGGGCAAGAAATAAATACAGATTTGAGAGCCAAATAATATTCTGTTGTTACAAAGAGGTAGTTCCATGTAAACATGGCTCTCATGTGTCTTTGGGCAGTTCCAGAGTCATTGCCATCACCAGATAGATGGATTCTCTTAAAGACTCAGTGACTATTTTTGTGCTATGTTCCTTTAAACCAACTCTGGATGTAGATTTCTGTAGAACAGGAATTCATTCATTCACTCATTCAACAAATATTTCTTGGTTCTACGCACTGGGGATGCAGCAGTAAACAAAGAGAAACCCCTGTCTCCTTGGTCTAACATTCCAGTGGATGGTGATAACCCTGAAACTATCCTAGTGTTCAAATAATACCACCAGGAGCCACAACAGGTTTGCTGAGCGATGCACTAGAAACGATTAAAAGGAAAAGGGTTATGATCTTGGGTTTAAAAAATAATTTATTTTTTCTTCCTTTTCATGGTCATCATCGTAACTATTCTTTGATAACCACCCTGCGTGGATTTTGACATAAGCAGTCCTAGGTTTGAATCCGGAATTAGCTATGGAGGCATAGCTTGACCTTTCTAACCCTGAAGAACACAAAACTTCTAGAGTAGTCCTTAAATAAGAGAACTTGAGTAAGATTTCTTGACATTCCTGGCACATAGGAGACTTTCAGAAAATCTTAGTTTCCATTTCCTTTCTTCACTTTGGATACTAAAGGAACCATCGATCCCTTATGTACATGTATCATTCATGAGAGCTTGCTGTGGTCTAGGAAACATGCTAAGGCCTTTGGATGTGCTACTGCATTTAATCCATACAACATCACCAGGTAACAGGTTAGAGTACAACCATGATTCCCACTTGTAGATACCTGTCCTGCAGCTAGTGAATGGAACGATTGAGATTTCTCCCTAAGTCTAACTCCAAAGCCTGGGTATGCTCTTAACCACTACACTACACTGTACTGCTCACTGCTGAGCCATGATTTTTTAGTGGTTTGGAAAGAGGTTCTCTGTGATAGAGTTTTCTTTCTGCTGAGGTCTTCTTGCCTTCCCTGACCTTGGAAGCTGAGTCCCTTAAGGCAGAAGATTTCAAACTTTTTTGACCACAATCTACTATTTACCATATTTATCATAATCTATTTACCCAGCACAGGTGCACATGCACATGTAGTACACACTCATATTTATAACTGAAACAAAACATTGCTGTAAAACAATGTTTAGCTCTTCACTATGTGTAATGCATTCTGTTTCTACTCTATTTCATCAAAAAATTTTCTGGTGAACCACTACATCTAGTGACCCATCAAATTGATTTCAGGACTCACAGGTCATGACCCATACTTTGGAAACACTGCTCTAAGGGGTCTATGTGGGTTCGGGAAAGTTCTGGGAGATGATGGACCTCACAGAATGCCTCACTACCTTGCTCCCTTCCAGTGTGAGGATGCATTTTTTTTTCCTTCTGACTTTCTGTCATGACAAAGAATTAAGGAACAAACTGAGATCTCAAAGGAGAAGTGTGGGGACATAGACTTGACCTGTCACTCTAAGCAATTCTCACAGGCAATTCCAAGTCTACACTTTGGGGCAATTCTAGGCTTTTCATTTCCCCATCTCTAAAACTGTTTTAAAAAAACTACCACCAGCTGGTTGGTACTCATCAGCAGTCTGGCTGGAAGATTCTGGTGAATGGCTAGGATGAAGTGATTCAGGTTCCTACAAATAAAGAAGCCTCACAGATCAGAGATAAGTTGCTAATGTATTAAATTCAAAAGTAATGAACAGGGACTCCCCTGGCGGCACAGTGGATAAGACTCTGCGCTCCCAATGCAGGGGGCCTGGGTTCGATCCCTGGTCTGGGAGCTAGATCCCACATGCATACTACAACTAGGAGTTCGCATGCCACAACTGAGGAGCCCGTGAGGTGCAACTAAGGAGCCCGCCTGCTGAAACTAACACCCAGCGCAACCAAATAAATAAATAAATATTAAAGAAAAGTAGTGAACAATATATATTACATATTCTAATAAGCAAATAGTGTTTCAAACTAAAAATAAAAAACCTTGTTTTAATTTCTACCTTTGCAACCAAAGTCTAATTTACTGAATATAAAATAGAATATTATCTCAAGAAAGGAAATATTAAAATCTTTTAAAATGGATTTTCAATAATAGTAAATAACATAATGTCATAGTTTGAAACCAATATTAAATAAAAATATTCATTCATTCAACAAATATTTACTGGATGCCTCCCATGTGCAAAGCTTAGAAGACATTGTACTACAACTATATTCTTAAGAACTAGTAGATTAGTTGTTACTTTAATTCCTTTCTATAGAGCACTACTCTTTTACTTCCTTCATGATATTTCTCAATATTTCTCATCCACAACACTAGTTAGTGCAGAGATGTGATAAAGGTACCCTATCACATAAGACATGAGGTTACACTCTAAGGATGAAATTAGGAGGGTCAACGGGTAATAATGTCACCTACCCAGAGTCATGCAAATGTGTGACTTAAGAGGTTTGAAAACATTCGTAGTCAGTCAAGGCTTTGGGAACCTTGAATATAAAATCTTGAATCCAAATTAATATGTTATATATAACCTATAAAGTGGAACCTTGAAATTGGTAGTCTGGTTGGATTTATCCCAGGAAAGGGGCTGGACCTTGGGGACAGGCCGTGTGGTCCCTGGAAAAGTGTCAAGTTGTGCTTCGGCAGGGGAGGTGGGTACAGTTTGCCTGGGTGACCCAGCCCTCCGGACGGCACTTTCCCCTTTGCTTTCATCGCGCTCACTAAGCAGTCTGATCACTAAGCTGACCTCCCAGATCGTCTATTCTGGGAGGCAGTTAAATTACGTGGAAACAGTTTGATCCATTTGGGTCTTACTTTTAACAAGTGGGACCTGAGCAGTGCTCAGACTAGGGTTAACTATTCCGCAATACAGAGGCAAACACCTTCTGGGTACACCTCTCAATACCCTGTGCATTTCTTTTCTTTTTTTTTTTTTGCATTACAATTTTTTAAAATATCTTTATTGGAGTATAATTGCTTTACAACGGGGTGTTAGTTTCAGCTTTATAACAAAGTGAATCAGCTATACGTATATATATATATCCCCATATCCCCTCCCTCTTGCGTCTCCTTCCCACTCTCCCTATCCCATCCCTATAGGTGGTCACAAAGAACTGAGCTGATCTCCCTGTGCTATGTGGCTGCTTCCCACTAGCTATCTAGTTTACACTTGGTAGTATATATAACTCCATGCAACTCTCTCACTTCATCCCAGCTTCCCCTTCCCCTTCCCCGTGTCCTCAAGTCCATTCTCTACGTCTGCATCTTTATCCCTGTCCTGCCCCTAGATTCTTCATAACCCTTTTTTTTCTTTGAGATTCCATATATATGTATTAGCATACGGTATTTGTTTTTCTCTTTCTGACTTACTTCACTCTGTATGACAGACTCTAGATCCATCCATCTCACTAGAAATAACTCAATTTCGTTTCTTTTTATGGCTGAGTAATATTCCATTGTATATATGTGCCACATCTTCTTTATCCATTCATCTGTTGATGGACACTTGGTTGCTTCCATGTCCTGGCTATTGTAAATAGAGCTGCAATGAACATTCTGGTACATGACTCTTTTTGAATTATGGTTTTCTCAGGGTATATGCCCAGTAGTGGGATTGTTGGGTCATATGGTAGTCCTATTTTTAGTTTTTTAAGGATCCTCCATACTGTTCCCCATAATGGCTTTATTAATTTACATTCCCACCAAGAGTACAAGAGGGTTCCCTTTTCTCCACACCCTCTCCAGTATTTATTGTTTGTAGATTTTTTCATGATGGCCATTCTGACTGGTGTGAGGTGATACCTCATTGTAGTTTTGATTTGCATTTCTCTAATGATTAGTGATGTTGAGCATTCTTTCATGTGTTACTTGGCAAGCTGTATATCTTCTTTGGAGAAATGTGTATTTAGGTCTTCTGCCCATTTTTAGATTGGGTTGTTTGTATTTTTGATATTGAGG